TTTTTTTTTTTTTTTTTTTTTTGGTACTGGAAATTGAACTCAGGACCTTGTACCTATAAGGCAGATATGGTGCCACTGAGCTAAGTCCCCAGCTCCTATACTTTCTTACACCAATGCCAAAAACTGAGGTTTAAAACCTCACTGATAATTCTTCACCAAATTGTTAATCAACAGTAACAATTCTTCCTGGTCACCTGTAGACATTAGTTAAGCATGTAAGTTAGTATTTGCTGCTTAAAATACCGATTATTTATTGCCCTCACAGTTCTGTGGGTTGGCCGTGCTGGGCAGTTCTTCTCTGACCTGGGCTTACAATACACAAGTTCAGTTTACATCTGTGTTGGCTGAGGCCAGTGGGTCTAAGCAAGAAGGATTCATCTCTGCTTTGCATGGTCCCCCATCAGTGGCAGGTCAGTGAGAGCTTGTGCCCATGGCTCAGGTCCCATAGTCAGTGCTTTTGCTGCACTCTGCTGGTCAAAGCAAACCACAAGGTGGGCCTAGATTCTGCGTTACTGAGGCACGAACCCAGGGCCTTCATGCTGAGCTACATCCCCAGCCTCTTTTTAAACATATTTTGCAACAGGGTCTCACTAAGTCACTGAATTGCACAGGCTGGAACTGAACTTCTAACCCTCTTAGAGTGCTGGGATTATAGGTGTATGTTGCCAGACTCAGCCAGATTGCCCCTTCTTAATGAGACAGAGCCACACTGTGAAGGGGTGTAGCTACAGGAAGGGGAGAACTGTGGCCACCTTTACAAAGGCTGCTCATACGAGGTCAGTGTACAAACACCCAGCTGTAAATGAGGTGGTGGTGCGAGGATGTCTGTGTTCACGAGCTGTAACATTTTCTGGTTTTCACAGGTCCTTGGTCATGACTCTAGTTTGCAGCAGTGGTAGGTTTCATGGGGCCTGCTGCCCTCTGCCCTTGGGCCGGACGGACGGCTGTGTCTCAGCTATGTGACCTCTCGGAGAGGCTGCATGGAAGCTCTCAAAGGCATGTTTTTACTTAAGGGCCTCCTGATCCTCCCAGTCAGCTGTCATAGCTGGGGCTTATTGGCAAGGCTTCAGCCATTCATATCTAATCCTGTGCACTGATTAATGGAGGCGGTTTCACTTTTGTTGTCCCCTTGTGGCAGCCTGTCTCCCCAGTGGCTGGGGCAGGTCTGTAGCCATTTATGGGCAAAGCCAGAGCTTTGCTGTCCTCCTTCCAGGACACAGTGGGGCTGGAGGTGTAGGTCACATCCTTCTCTGTGACCTTGGCCCACGCCATTCTAACTAAGCTCTACTAACTGCCTCTCTCGTGTTTGTAAATTATAAAGCTTTCTCTTACCATTGTCAGTTTCTCTACTGGGTCACTGCCATCAATGCACAAATGTGCTATCATTGTTCCTATCTTAAAACACTGACTGTTAACTCCTTGTCCCTTGTACATATTATTACAGTTATTTACTCCTTCTTAGGGATGAGTTCTTACAAGAGATAACTGTACTCATTGATCCCAATCTGTGGGCTTCCAGCCCCCTTAAAACCTCTCTGTCAGGACCCATCCACCACTTTTCTGAAACTGCTTTTGGCAAGGTTGATTGCTAAGGCCGATGGTCATTCTCCATCCTGTCCGATTCTCCAAGGTGGTCACTTTCTGCTCCAGAAACATTCTCGTCGCTTGGCATCTGGGATGCTTGGCTCCTGTGTCTCCTCCTTCCTTGCTGGTTTGTCCCATTTCCCTAACCACAGAATGTTGGAGGCCCCTGAGGTTAAGGCTCCAAGCCTTTCCTCTTTCTTGTGCAATTTCATCTTACCTCGTGACTTTAAATACCAGCTCTATGCAATGACTCTCATATTTATGTCTCCAGCCTAGGTCTCTTCCCTGGTTCCCAGGGTCACAAATTTAATTAACGTCTCCACTAGGATGGATGTCTCACTGGCATCTTGAATTTAGCAGGCCCACAACTGAGTCTTGATTGTCCCTCAAACCTAAAAGCTTCTCTAGTGCCAGGGAGGGCCCTCAGTTAGAAAAGCAGTGATATAGATAATCCCTGCTCATGGGAAGGGAGCATGCAGTAGGGGCAGGCATCAACAGAATCTGCCAGTGGCATTTTAGCTTTTTATCCCCTGGTGTATCCTGCCCCCTAAACAGTGTCAGACACATTTTTATAAGGTACAAATGCTACGGTAGACAGTTGATAGTTGAAGTCCCAGCATCCCTTTTCCATTTTATGATCAACTTCATTCCTATTTTTCCTTCATTCCTGGTTCCCGGGTAGGGGGCTCCCTCACTGCCACCCTAAGGTTGTAATCCAATCAGCTTCTTTTCCTCCCCGCTACATTGCCTCCGTGACCACAGTAATCTGTTCAGGAATGGACACATGACCCATTTTGGCTCACTGCGAGAAAACTTGGTGTTGCTGAATGGTTTGTCCCCATTTCCCTGACCACGGAATGTTGGAGCTCCCCGAAGTTGGTACAGCTGGTATTTAATACAGCTGGTATTTAAATCCATGAGGCAGAATGAGGAACTCTTGTTCATTCTTTCCCTGATGGATGTAGCATAAGATGCAGCCATTTTGCAATCACAGGAAAGCTTGCATCTTCTGGGTTGATTGTGCAAAGCCCAAAGAGAAAGGCAAGAAGAAGAGGAAGGCAGAAAGCAGAGGGAGAGAATCTGATGTTTGCAGAAATCTTTTGGAGCTGCTTGTTCAAGTCTCATTTGAAAGCAGATCTAAATGTGGACTTTTAACGGATATGTCTAATAAAATTTCTTCATGTTGTGAGTTGCTTGGATGTAGATTTTCTGTCATTTATGGCTGAATGGGTCCTCACTGATTCTATACCTAATTTACAGGGTTGTTGTGAAGTTTAAATAAAATAGCACTAAGTGAAGCATGTCACACAACTGCCACTCAATAAATGGTAACCCACGTTGCTGTTGTGATGTGTTTTTACAGAATTATGTGACCTTTTCATCTACCGCTCAGCATTGCTTGTTTCCCTTATTCTCTTCCATATTCAATTTCTATCCCCAAAGGAGGGAGGCTGAGGTCCTGTCCAGCCCCAGGCTCCCAACCTCCAGGCTGGGCTTCAGATCCTCCTTGCACACAACAGCTGGCGAACACTACAGTCATTCCTTTGAGGTCTAACTCCTCTGATATCTCATCTTTCTCTTGTTTGGCGGTATTTTTCTACTCTAAGCTTATCCATAAATGTATGTGTAAGGCACTGCAAATGCCTTTTTCAGAAAGCCACATCTACATGAAAACAATGGCCACAAGAAAAAGGTAGAAACTTTCTAGAACCGACCCAGATTTTGAAAATGTGATAAAGAGGTTATTGTGTGTCCGAACTTTTCACACAAGAATTGGAGGCTGTTTAACATAAGGATAATAAACAGAGGAAGGCTGGCTAATGCAGAGCAGATGGGCCTGAAGGGGCAGTGCTCAGCATTTCAACATCTTCCCCTTTGGACCTTTGGACTCAAGATGACTGAGTGCTGGTTTCCTTGGCTAAAAATAAAGGTAGTGTCCTTAGGGAAATAATAAATTTGGCAGGTTTTGTTTCTGAGGTGGTTGGTAAACTAAACTTTTCAAGAAGCTACTATATTATGGAGCCAGTTTTTGGCATTCACTAATTTATTCGTGACCACAGCTGCATATTAAAGATGAGGTAACCAAGGCTCTTACCAAAGGGTGCACAGCAAAGCCAGAGTAAAGCCAGGATCAGTCCTTGGCCCTTCTCCTTGCCTGTACCACAGTGAATGGGTTGACAGATGAGCAGGGAAAAGGGTCATGGCCAAATAAATTTGAGAGACACTGGTAAGCGATCCTCCTGCCTCAGCTTCCTGAGGACTACAGATATGTACCACCACACCCAGTGAGTTGCTTCTTTTCTTACCATTGAGTTTTGAGAGGTCTTTACATATTCTGTATATGTCTTTATTTTTCTATTAGCATCTGCCTTTGTATTATTGACTATTCTTTTAAAATTTTTATTTTCTTCAAGTCTGAGTTTATGTTTTCATGCTAATAGTGTTTTTTGAAGAATAGAAAAACGTAAAGCTAGTGAAGTCCATTGTATACATTTCTTGAGTTTTATTTTGCATTCTAAAAATCTTAGTTATGTTCCAGAAGTTTTCCTTGGCTTGCTATCACAACTTAAAAGTTTGCTCTTTGGCACTACATTCTATCACTCATCTTACATATTGTTTTTCTCAATTATAATTTTAAAAAATGTAATTTTTACAATAAAAATCACACTGTTGCAGGTGGTAGCCTTGCACCTCTCGCGGATATTAGTGACACACCTCAGCCCAGTGTAGTAGCTCTACCTCTTCAGGTGTAAGTTCTGCACTTGGTCTTGCATGGAGCCAGACTTCCCCAGTTGCTCCATGATTCTTAGCTGAGAGATCATCTCAGCTTCCTGTTAGGTTATCTTGGATTACTGTGATCCACCTCCAGGACAGAGAGTAAAAATCTGACATTGAGCCACCAGGAGAGGCTTTCTAGGAGTGGGAGGGCCTCGTTCCTCTCTGGTGTCACCAGCTCCTGGGACATGATCCTGGCTCTCTGTCTTGAAGCTTCATATTCCCTGCTCTTATGTGGAGGTAGACACAGAGGTTGCTGCTGCCTAGTCCAAGGAGGCAGCTCCTACCCTCGAGTCTGTTAATTTTCTACCAAGAGCTCAGTTGTTCCTTCTCCCAATCTCAGGTACCTCAAAGTACCTGAGTATTCTTGAAGTTGCCTCCCATCTTCCACTCTTATGCAAGTTGTCTCCCAGAGCTAGGGATGTAGCTCAGTGTAGAGCACTTGCCTAACATGTAAGAGGAGGCCCTGGGTTCAATCAGTGCAAAAAAAAAAAAAATAGTCTTCTCCCATTTGTGCTTCAGTATAGAGATCCTTTTAAAAAATCTGATTACACTGTCTTTTATAACTCAAGGAATTTTTTAAAGATTTCATATCTATAAGGAGACCCCCTTCTAGTTTTCTGACAGTAAATAAGTAACCTCATTTCTAGAAATTTGGGGCATGGAGTGTAATAACACTCAGTCCTCCACCCTGAACTGGACCTGTAGGTGAAATTAGCACCTGTAGAAGAATACCTTGCTATTCAAAAATCCACGAATGCAGGTAACACATACCATATGCTGTCGTGGAAGCTTGGTTTGCAAGTTTGATGCTTGCATTTTCTTTGGGAAAGTTTGCTGAAGAGAAAGCATGGCCCTTTTAGACACAAAAATGTTTACATCCCTGTCCCCTATTACAAAACTTCCAGTAACTCCCACTGCCTTTTAGATGAAGCTTCAGGTGTTTCCACAGGCCTTTCCCGCTCTGTTTCCCATTGACTCTCCACCTGGGAAGGTGTCTGTTCTCATTCACACACTTGTAGAGGACACAGCTGTCCAAGAATGGGAGTTGGGTAGGAGAGGGAAAGGAAAGGGGTAGGGAGGGGTTATGGGAACAGCCAACAAGCCCTAGAACTAGCCTTAGTGCAGGCTGTCCCAGGCAGCTGAGAACACAGAACCCCACCCTCAGCCGTACAAATGGAGAGAGTTGAGGCACCACTTGCCTTTCCTTCTCTTCACGCCTTTAGGTGAAGACTACATTTTCAGTGCTGTAGCCTGATGAACTGACACGATTGCAAGGAGGAGGGCTGATGCTCACCGGCACAGACAGATACACAAAATGAACTGGGCTGTTTAGGTCCTTCCCACAAAATATTTGCAGCTCCAAATCAACTCCAAGTTTATCTCTTAAGCACATTTGAAATATGAAAATAATCTCAGACTGTCACCACCTGGAATGTCATTTAGATAAGCTAAGAGCCCAGAGGGAGGACAGTGTGGGCCTTGTCTGTCAGGACTGTGCAGGTCAGCCTTCACAAAACTACTGTGAACGTGAGGCCAAACTGGCCCACAGATTGGACAAATAGCTACAGTGGCAGTTGCTCATGTTTTATATTTCTTTTAAAATGTAGCTTCCATTTGGGTTTAGCTGCTCCTTTGTCTGGCTCTCACTTTTGTATGTTTATGTGACCAGGCGGTGAATACTATTGTTATCATTTCTGCACACAGAGGACATGGAGCCTCCTGAGATACAGCAACCAGCCCTGTGGCAGCAGTTGGTACACGGTAGTTTGGGGCTTGGATTCAGGTCTTAAACCTACATCTGGGTCATTCCCTCCACCACAGAGCCATCCTCACCAGAGGTAGATTGGAACAATCCTCTCAGGTTCCCTTTGGCTCGAATGCAGGTCCAGTGTGTGGGTTTCACCAACAACATCCTCAAAGCAAAGAGGAGTGTATTAATAGTCTATTACTGGCTAACAAATCATCTCCAGACTTGTATTAATTTTCTATTATATGTAACAAAGACTCTCAGAATGTTCTGCCTTTTTACAATATTAATTATGCTGCAGTTGTTGTCAGTCAGGAACTCAGAAGTGTGTCATGTGGGTACTTCTGGCTCAGACTTTTCAGTTGAAGTTAAAATATTGATTGAGACTGTGATCACCAGATTTCGCTGGGCCAGGGTCTGTCCCAGAGTGGCTCCTTACATAGCTGGCACATTAGTTCTGCTTGTTGGTAGGCAGTTGTAGCTCCTCTCCACAAGCTGCTTGGTGTCCTTACAACATGGCAACAATATGCACTTTTCTGTGCTGAGAAATCAGAGAGTAACTGGTCACAGCAGTTGCACAATATCATGATCATTAGAAGGGAGCCACTAAGTTCAGCTTATGTTCAAGGGAAAGGGAATCAGTCTCTATCTTTTGAAAGAAGTATCAATAAAAGTGTGGATCTGTATTAAATCCACCACAGGGCCCTATTTCCTGCCTTTTGCGTACACTTCCTATCATGGTGTTGTGTCTCCTCTCACTCCTACTCACCCCGCCACAAGCCATGCACATCCTGCGTGGTTTCTCTCCCGTGAAACTCTATGTTCAGATGCCACAAGCAGGTTGGGCCTCAAAGGGAAACAATAGAATTCTGAGGGGAAAGTGGTAACTTCTAATCAGAGGCCATGGACAGTGGGCTAAGGTGGGCACAGAACTCAGGGGGAAGGGGACAGTCTATCTTCAACACATGTATGTAGTTGGTGTGACCTATTTTTCATCTTAAAGCATACAAGAAAATAAGTCGCAGCTTATTTTAGTGTTTTATTTATTCATTATTTTTCTTGGGTCACAGCTTATTTTAAAATCTCAGTGAAGCAGCTTGAGCATTCACTTAGTCATCTTGAGGAACTCTTCAGGTTTTCCTTTGATGAAAGAATACACCAAAGCTTGGTTGTGTCCAAGTTGTTACTCTCTGTCTTTTCCACCTTGCCTTTGGAGTCAGAACCTCCACCTGAGATCAGAGGATGCCCAATACCCATGTGTATCCCACCCTACTGGCACCCAGCCACATGACCAGGCTCAAAGTCCTTGTGCCACAAGCCCTTTCACATCCCATGGCCCCTGAGGGTCTGTCTCCTCTCTCCAGTGCACCTCATCAAGTGTGGCCCAGCTCTGGGTGCCACTGTCAACCCTGCCCCAAGGCAAGGAGTAGAGCTTTCGCCAGGAAGGATGGCTCTTGTCTCTGACTTGGGATCACTGTTTCCTCCTCAGCTCCAATTCTGGGCAGAATCTGGTCACCTGTTCTCAGATGCCTTCCCTGTCACTGACTTTGATACAGGTCCATCCCAGTCTCCCCACATATTTTTCATTTCCTTTTCATGTTTTTGAATGAAATCAACACATCCAAAGGGTATCACATGTCTATCTTGCTGCTTCACATACTTCTAGCAGAAGGGCTGGGTGTAAACTTAAGGCATTTCCTGGGAGAGACTAAGAGGGCTCTTCTGGGGTGGGACGCACTTAAGAAAGGGCGGAGAACCACATTCTGGAAACAGACTAGCAACATATTTAGCAACATATCCTTCCCTAAACACCGTGCACCTACTCAGCATTTGGGGTACCATGCAGGGCAGCCTAGGAGACATGGAATATGCCTACCATTGTTCTTCCATTTGTCCTGAGCTTTATCCTTTGCCCCACCTCTCCATACTGACTCTCCATTTCTAGTTTTCAGAAACATTTCACCTTGCCAGTGAACCTCTGATATGTTTAATTCTAGGAACTTATTTTTTGTAACTTCCATAGCATTTTAAGGAGGTTGAAGTGACGCTTACGCATGTGCCCTTGTGCGCATGTGCTTCCCAGCTCCTCCGCGACTTACTTCTCAGGGCATTTTGACCACACAACCAGCAGGTGGGGCTTTAAGGAAATCTCTAAAGAAAACAAGTCAGGATCCTCCACTTGATGTTTCCCTTTTGGGATGTGGATTTGATGGTTTACTAAAAGCCACTGTAGAGAAAGCTCTGAAAAGGGAGGTAGGATGGTGGGGCTGCTGGTGTGAGGATGTTTGAGGCCTGGCTCTCCAGCCTCTCAGAAGCGCACCGGAAGCAGCGTGGGTTCTTGTGTTCTTGAACCTTTAAGCCAAGGAAGACTCTAAAATTAGTACTTAAAGCCGGGCTTGGTGGGACGGGCCTGTAATCCCAGCACTCTGGAATGCTGAGGCAAGAGGATCACACAAGTTCAAGCTCAGCCTGGGCGATTTAGAGACATAGGAGACCTCTTTTCAAAATATAAAAGGAG